TTAACATAACTTCTTTCTACTAATTTCAGCTTATGCTCATTTCAGCTAGGTTCAACTTTTTCTGTTATTTCAGTTATTCTTTAGCTGTTTATTTATTTATTTATTTATTTATTTATTTGTGTGTGTGCAAATTTTAGCTTTTTCAGCTAGTTCCAATTTTCTTTTTGCTCCTTTCAGCTCTTTCCACTTCCTTCTAGTAGGTTAAGCTTCTTTCTGCGCTTTCGGCTAGTTTTTCAATGTATTTTTTTCGTGCTAATTTTAGCTTTTTTAGCTGATATCCATATTTTGTGCTCATTTCTGCTTATTTAAACCTAATTCAGCAAATGTGTATTCTTCATGCTTTCTTCAGCTAACATGGGCTTGTTCCTTCATTTCAGCATGTTTTTAGCTAATTTCAGCTGTTTTTCAGCAAGTTCTTCTGCAATAAGCATTCGCACTTCATTTTCGCAGGAAATGCAGTTCCTCTGGTTCACACGTTTTTCTCGTGATGCTGTCCGATGCGTCCATGCAGCCAGCCGAGCCAGCAGCAGGAGAGCAGACCTTTCTCCAGGGTTCACCTGTTTACTCAGGCTTTTCTCTCTGTTTGAGGACACACACGTCTGACTGCCACAGCACAAACCCAAAGAGTGTTTGTGTGGATATTTTGTAAGATGCTGTTTGTTTGTGTAAAGTCAGGCTCAGATTCTCGTGTATTTCGAAATATCAGTGACTCAGTAACAACTTCTCTCTTATGTAAGCCAGCATTTGATGATCTCCTCCTTTGACACACTCGGTCCTCGCCAGAGAAGTCGCTCTGACTAAAGATGTTGCATAAAGGACTTGCTCATCCTCGGTCGGCTGTGCCTGTGTGGATTCACTGCGGGAGTGAAACATCCAGCTACAGCTCTTCTGCCCCGCCTGTCGTCACTTCAGAAGTGTTCAGACTGTTTCCTCGGTGTTGCAGCTGGAGATCAGCAGGTCATGAAACATGGCACCTCAGATGTGTTGTTTCGTTCCTTCTCGCCAGATGTTGGCTTAAATTTAGCAACACCACACTGCAGGAGATGCTGAAAGTAGTGCAAAACTCGCTACGCTTCCTAAACTACTAAAACAGCCAGCTTCAAAGTATTTCAACAAAACAATTCTGTTTGGATACATGTCTGATTTGTTTTCCTGCCTCCTAAAGACTCCTGGGTGCAGCCGGGCGACTCCTGTGTGCATCAGCCAATGACACGGATGTAGCTGCCGCTCCGCCACAGCTCCACATCCACTGTTGCTATAGCAACGCCATGGTAATGAGGCTGCATTCTGATGATGCCTCAGTGGGATGTTGGAGGAGTTGAGATATCTCGGGACAACGAGTCGACTAGCGGATGACAGCGTTCAGAGGCCACAGTGACGTTTGGTTCATGTGGAGCCGTTTGGAGAGGTCCAGGTCAGGCGTGTGACACTTTTATGTGGTTGTAAAGTGAGCGCACGGCTGCCAGAACAGCTTCAGGCCGCACGAGTCGACTCTCAGCCTAATTGTTTGGGAAGCATTAGATCTGCGCGTGTTTACTGATAAGATCCGTGTAATGAAGTGGCGACGTGAACAAGAGACTTTAATTCAAATTACGAACTTGTCGTCTTGTGCTCGGTGTTTTATGAACCTCATTACGTCCTGATAGAAGAGCACTACTGCTGCATCGAGTCGTTAGATTTTTCCTGGTGTGAATGTGAGGGTAAAGCTTGTGCGTGTGAGGCATCTGGAATATCAATAGATCTCTGTGGTTGGATAAGCGCCTGTCAACTCATTAACCTGTGAAAAGATCTGAGAAAAGTTTCCTCTGCTCACTTCATGAGAGCTCATCTGCTCTGAAGCTGCTTTATTATTCTAGTTGTTCATTCTGGTCACACTGTGCAGCAGAAACCACTGCTTTAGTGGTCGATGTCTCTCAGAACAGCCTTCTGTTACTGACAGCAGCAGACACGTCAGCTGCATGCATGTTCAGACCAACACCTTAAAGAACTGATGAATGTGCAGACGAGCGTAACAGTTACAGACTGGAGGGACGTCTGTCATCACACTTTGTCCTTGACTCCTGAGGCCGAGGTGAGGTAGAGGCAGGGCAGCCGACCTGGGACCAGAAAGTCCCTGTTTCGACCCCCAGCCATTCCCACATGTTGTGGTGTCTCTGAGCAAGACACCTAATCCCTAATTGCTCCCCGGGTGCCTACATAGCTGCCCACTGCTCCACCTGGGTGCATCAGGTGCGAGGAGTTAAATGCAGAGAACTACCGGTAAATTTCTCCATTGTATGGGAACATGCAGTGATGACAGTACCGTAGTCGTCATATTCAATGACGTTGACAATGATCATTTGTCATCATCGGTATTTTTAGTTTGAATTTGTCTTATTTGTTTCTGTTTTCCTCCTCACCACTCGTATGAGCTGCCTGCAGCTGCAGAGACCTGCTCTGTTCAGGGCTGCAGCAAACTGAACACTGGCAGAGTCTGTTCATCTGCCGAGCATTTGCAGCTAGAATGCTGTTTAAATAGAATAACAGTGGGCAGTGGTTAGTTGGTGCATGGTGTTCATGAGGGAGTCTCTTGGATGTTTGTGGTGATGCTCAGTTTCCTTATGTGACCTGCAGAGAAGCGCAGTCTTGTCACTCAAGTTGTGAACTTGTTCAAAAAACTTGTGCAGTAGATTTTTTTCTCAGCATTCTCGAATGAAATGGTCATTGCGGGAATCTTAAACTGATCTGGAATAAAGCTGTAAGTCGACTTCTGCAGGAGCTCTCCTGAGGAAAACATCCAGATTGATGTCCCGGGGTCTTTATGTATGAATGTTGCACAAACGGTTGTGATGCCCACATGTATCAAATTCTCATACGGTGTGCCGAAAACGTTCATTTGAGGTGCAGTGAGTGACTCGTTTGTAGATATCAACTATTAAATGAATGTGCCTCCGTGTGCTCTTTATGAGCATATCTGACTCGCATGTCGTTAAATTCCTCACTAGTGGCATCTTGTCATCATTTACGAGAGATCAGAGTGGAGAATCACATATTGGACATTCCTGCATCTAGCTGCATATTTAAGTAGAGGCGTGTCAGGGGAGGTGTCTCCTGTGCTCAATTCCTCCATGTATGAAGGGAAGGTTTGCAGAAACATGCATGTGTTTGATAAATCTGAATATTTCTTCTATGCATCTGCACTTATTTTGTCTCTACGACAACTTTCAGTAAGAAAACGACACATTGATCCATACATAAGGCCTCATTTCTGAAAACCACACCAATACTCGGTAAAGTTTACTGAAAAATTAATCTAAATCTGCCCACGTGCATTTTAATTTTAAATGATTTATTTTAGCAGTTTAAATCATGAACGTGAGGCGGTTGCCAAAGTTGTTTTAAGGCGAATTGAAGGGGATTTAATGTGTGTGCAGATGGGCAGCAGAATGACGTGCAAGACCAAGGAGCAGCGTGCACATAAACAGATCTTGATTTTCAAAAACACGCCACTCACACATGCTCACTGGGACAATAGAAAATTAGATAATTATTTATTTATGCAAGTTTGAATCTCAAGCCCGTTTTAAATGAATCTTTTTGTTTTATTTTCTTCACTCAGTGACCAACATAACATCATCCATCCGTTTGTCTCTTCATTAGTTTCCTTTACCTGTAAGTTCCTGTTCAGGCTCTTGGAGCTGGTGCCAATCTCCAAAAAATTTGTTTTTTCTCTGCAAAAAGAAGCTGAGAATTGTTTACTGATTTTTTTTTATTAAAAGTGCTATGCTAAAGAGCTCTAATCACACCGAGCGTCCGCCATTTTGAGACCAAAAAAACAGGAAAGGGAGACAACCCATGTCACGTCAAGGGGCCTCCCTCCCATTTTTCTTAAAGAGACACGGTGCTCGCTCCCTCACTATCCATCCTTGGGTTCAAACGGTTCTATACTGCCATCCAGTGGTCCAAAAAGGTACTACACACAAAAATTACCCAACATTTCTTCTTAAATTTGACAGTAGTTACTAATTATTGTCAAATTCATCATTCAATCATATTGTCAAACAATATTATCGTTTATTGCAATAATTTCTGAGACAGTCGCCCTGCAAAATTTGTTATTGTGACAGTCCTACTCTCATTGCCTTCGATGTGTCACATCAGTGTATGAATGTGATCTAAAGCACTGATTAATCTCTACAGATTCAGATTATCTTTGTAGAGATGTAGTAGGGTGCTGTATGAATGTGTGTGTGGAGGTAAATGAGGGCACAGATTCTAGTGTAAAGTGCTTTTAGTATCTTGATTGGACAGAAAGGTACCGTTCATTTTACCATTAAGCAAGTTTGTACATGACTGTTGCCTTCCTAAAGTTTGTTGCCTCCACAGTATTTTGTAGAAAGCTTGTTTGATTTATTTATTTATTTTTTTTTCAAACGTGTTTTTGCCAGAAGCAGCCCTCGGTGGTCTGAACACCAGCCGACGGTCTGCTGTGCTGTGCTGTTTTTTTGTCCGCCATGTTTTTCACTCTGAGCCTCTGTTGCTCACCAGCCAGAGCTCTGGTGCTTTCAGGTTGCTGCTGATCCACATGTGGCTCTGTTGGGCTGCTCGACCCATTTTAACCACTTCATCTGGTTCATTCTGTGATACTAATACTGCACAGACAATAGAGGTGTTTGTTTTTCTTACTGATGCTTGTAAAAGTGCCCTCTTCTTCCTTTAAAGAGTGTGAAACAGATTAGAAAGATTGACTTACTTGGACTTTATGCAGTCATCTCATGCATCATACAAAGTAAAACAACTGTAGATGAATATGAAAACACCTTTCTAGTGTTTTTAATGAGTCCTTTTTGTTTCTCATTCAGACAGCATCCTGTCATGAAGTTCCAGAAGTTGAGCCAGCGTTGAAGTTGATGCTGTCAGCGAGTCCAGCCTACGCTGCACTACACCCACGTCTTCAACACACGTTTTTGCTTTAGTTACTTGTCGTAGTTTCATCTCGGCTGCTGAATCCATCCCCAGAAAGTTTCTGAAGCTCTCCAAGTAAAGGCTTGGTCCTGTACCTGCAAGTATACCTTCTGGCTGTACATCAGCACCTCGGACTGCATTTTCTCAGTAGTCCTGCAGCCTTGCACCTTGAGCCATCACTGAAACCACCTTAACCACCTCCTGGGCTGAGCACAAGTTGTTGGTGAGGGCAGCTGTCCACCTGATCTGCCACAGTCATGTCCAGTCGACGTAAGGCTTCCACTCCCTGTATGATCCGGCCTGAGGTGACCCCAGTGGATCTGGATGAGAAGGAAGAAGAGTCGCACGACATGCAGGTACTTTCAATTCAGCAAATCAAAGTTCACTCATTTTTAAGGAGCTCTGTAATTTTTATACGCTTGTAGAAAGGTGGATGTGTCATGGTATATTCTTGGTTGTGGTATATTTGTGGTGTATTTGTGGTATATTTTGTGTTGTATTTTGTGTTGTATTTTGTGATGTATTTGTGGTGTATTTTGTGGTTTATTTTGTGGTGTATTTTTGTGATTATTTGTAGTTTATTTTGGGGTATATTTGGGGTGTATTTTGTGGTGTATTTGGGGTGTATTTTGTGGTTTATTTTGTGGTGTATTTTGTGATTATTTGTAGTTTATTTTGGGGTATATTTGGGGTGTATTTTGTGGTGTATTTTGTGGTGTATTTTGTGATGTATTTGTGGTGTATTTTGTGGTTTATTTTGGGGTGTATTTGTAGTTTATTTTGTGGTGTATTTGTGGTGTATTTGTGGTGTATTTTGGGGTTTATTTTGTGGTGTATTTTGTGGTTTATTTTGGGGTGTATTTTGGGGTGTATTTTGGGTGTATTTGGGGTGTATTTGTGTTGTATTTTGTGATGTATTTGTGGTGTATTTTGTGATGTATTTGTGGTGTATTTTGTGGTGTATTTGTGGTGTATTTTGTGGTGTATTTTGTGGTGTATTTTGTGGTTTATTTTGTGGTTTATTTTGTGGTGTATTTTGTGGTGTATTTGTGGTGTATTTGTGGTGTATTTTGGGGTGTATTTGGGGTTTATTTTGTGGTTTATTTTGGGGTGTATTTTGTGGTTTATTTTGGGGTGTATTTTGTGGTTTATTTTGGGGTGTATTTTGGGTGTATTTGTGTTGTATTTTGTGATGTATTTGTGGTGTATTTTGTGGTTTATTTTGGGGTGAATTTGGGGTTTATTTTGTGGTTTATTTTGTGGTGTATTTGTGTTGTATTTTGTGATGTATTTGTGGTGTATTTTGTGGTTTATTTTGTGGTGTATTTTGTGGTTTATTTTGTGGTGTATTTTGGGGTGTATTTGTGGTGTATTTGTGGTGTATTTTGTGTTGTATTTTGTGATGTATTTGGGGTGTATTTTGTGGATTATTTTGTGGTGTATTTGTGGTTTGTGGTATATTTGAATGTGTGGTCCATTGCCATAGATTGCTGTTTAATGGTTTGTCGACGGGCATATAATGTGCCATATGAGGTACTTTTGTTTGTCATATTGAATGTAAAATTGTAATTTTAGTTATTCTCGTCACTTATCTTGTATAGAATAACTTTAATTTCTTACAGTACTACTAGAAGTCCACACACCAAGCCGGCACGGTATAAACATGTCTGTTTGCAGATTTAACACCTGTCTGACTTCTGCCTCTTTCTTCTGCCAGACATCACAGAACCATGTTCAGGAGGCACCGATCACTACAGACCCATCTACTCAAGCAGAGCCATCCACGGACCTGGATCTAACTGGCAAGGCCTCAAACCCTCCCACGGGTCCGGACAAACCAGAAACTGAATCGCCAGACCCTTCCAAGCCTCAGCGCAGACAGCAGGGGGGCTACGAGTGCAAATACTGCACTTTTTCCACGCAGAATCTCAACACTTTCAAAGAACACGTGGATGCTAATCATCCAAACGTCATCCTCAACCCACTGTATCTGTGCGCCGTCTGCAACTTCAACACGAAGAAGTTCGACACCCTGACGGAGCACAACGAGAGATGTCACCCGGGAGAGAGCAACTTCAAATTCAAACGCATCAAAATGAACAATCAGACGATCTTGGAGCAGACGATTGAGGGCTGCAATAACAATGCAGTCGTGTACAACACGTCAGGCGTCCTCACGGGGAAAGGGGACGGACTGGGTACTAAGCAACTCGGCAAATCTGCCACGGTCAAAAACCAAAAAAACAAAATTATTTCAACCGACACCAAATGGACAGAGCCTCTTTTGGGTAAACTGACCTCTGATCTGGCCAAGAAACCAATCACTGCTCTAAATGTGAACGGGACGGTCATCATCCCCGAGTCGGCCCTCCTCGCAGCAGATGGTCTTTCTCACATCATGCCTTCTTTACAGCAGCCTATAAACTACACCCAGGTAGGAAGAACTCTTGAGAATACAAGGAATTTAACACAAAGACATTTTGTCTACCATACTAACTAAAACATTTCAAGGATCCAATGAGGGTGATGGTGAGTCTTGAGACTAATGCAGCTCTCATCATCTGCCATCAAATCCTTTTTGCACGCCCGTCGAAAGGCGTATATATTTTGGTATTGTCTATGTTCGTACTTACATCCGTAAACTTTCTTTTGTCCTGCGCATAACCTGATTATCTCGAGATAATTTAACAAATATTTATACACATATGGAGTATCATGTACACTTTTCATCACCCCAGCTTCAAGGACAAGGTCACAAATCAAGACCAGATATTATACAAGGTCTTTGTTGATCAGGTCATTGCCCTAGCTTACCATTGGGTAAATAATGTGCTGTATGCGGTACTCTTATCGTTAGAGCCTTCTAGTTCAGTGGTTCCCTGGTCCCTGAGGAACACCACCCTGCTCGTTTTAGTTGTCCCTCTTCTCCAACACACCTGATTTGAATGAATGGTGATTAACGGGCTTCTGCCAAACTTAATTAAACCCCTGAATCAGGTGTGTTGCAGCCGGGAAACAACTAAAGCATGCAGGATGGTGTTCCTCAAGGACCAGAGTTGGGAACCACTCTAGTTTCCAGTGTTTGACTCTTTTAGACCAGGAAAATGCAGAAGTTGATGTCAAAATAAATTACCAGCTGTCATTTAATTTGTAACAGTCGAGGAAAAATAAAAACCTCTGTGACTCGTTTTGTTTCAGGTGCCGAAGATCGCAGTGCCCCTCAACACAACCAAATACAACCCCTCGCTGGACGACAACCTGACGCTCATCTCGTCCTTCAACAAGTTTCCCTACCCGACACAAGCCGAGCTCTCGTGGCTCACCGCGGCCTCGAAACACCCCGAGGAGCAAATCAAAGTCTGGTTCACCACGCAGAGACTCAAACAGGGCATCAGCTGGTCTCCTGAGGAGGTATTCAGATCGTTTGTGATGTTTTAGATCCTGGGTTTCTCTCAGGTGGGGCTAAACTAATGCTTCTGTGATAATATTCAAATAATAGATGTTTGTTGGTGAATGTATACGTTTTCTCACATTTATTAAGTCTTATGTAGGTGTTACACTTTAACTTTAGCTAATTTAAGACATATAATTATTTAGAGTAAAAAAGCACAACAGAAAACACCTCTCTGCCACTGGCCAGCGTTCTCGGCCATGCCCACTTCTCTTCTGCAGAGCGGAGATATGACATGCTGCAGGAGGAAGCTCCTACTGAAATAAAAAACCCATGCCGATCGTGTGGCTCATCCATCAATCAGCCAGTTGTGTGTCATGTCCAGTCTTCTTTTTAAAAACCACAATAGAGTGAATCCGCGAAAAACGAACCGCGAAGTAGCGAGGGACTACTGTAAACATAGCTGTTGTTTTTGTATTACAGTATTTTGTTTGTTTTTTTTGCAATAAATGTGGGTACTTGGAAGTGCTAATAGCAGCAGCTAGCTGTAGAACTTCCAGTGCAGCTGGCAGGAATATTTTTAAAATAACAATTTAGCCATATCCTGTGAAATTGACAGCAATTTGAACAGTTTTTATGAATGTCTATGAATCTCTGCAGATTAATTTAAAATCAGTTCAATTCAAAAATACTTTATTGATCCCAAAGAGAAATTAAATGTTGTTGTAGCTCATCATTCTGGTTTCATTAAGAGTTGTTCTAGATGCTGATGGCTTTGGGCAGGAAGGATCTGCAGCAGTTCATCCCACAGCAGATCTGAAGAAACTGGCTGCAGATGCCGATCCGTCCACCCAGACCCAGCAGACCTATTGGTCCTCTTGATTAGAGGCCAGTCTAAGGATCCCTACTTCCAAAGTGAATCACTGCCAGCTTGAAGCTATTTCAGTCTTCAACATTTCATAACATTTTATGGAAATGCTGATATTTAAATCTCTTCATTATTGTCAATGTCACATTGCACATTTATTCAGGAAGAAAAATAACTTTCTGGTGTCGGTGCTACAGCTAGCTGCTGCTAGTTTAACCTGCAAACACCAAAGGATTTGATGTAAATAACCGTGTATTATGAAAAAGACAGGTTTATGAATGAACTTTTCATGAACTGCTATGAAACCTTTGAGGCTGGAGTTGTTTTAAAATGTCAGGGACCTCTTGTTATTGACGTTATTGCTAGCTGTTAGCTCGTCGGTCCTGTTGGATGTAAACTCAGGTCATGTAAAGCGTTATCTGCAACAGGTTAGATATTCGATTAGATGGAACATTTCCACAGAATCTTACTAAACTGTCTGACTTATTACATTTAAGACCTTTGATAACAGGATAAATAAAAGCTAAACATTATGGTAATTTACTCATTTTATTTTAGAGAGCTTTTAGTTGTCATTAGTTTACAATTATTTCAGGTTAGTTTGCAAAAGTTCTTTCTTTTCATTAATAAAATAAAACTCCATCCACTTTAGATAGAGGGCGAAACGTCTCTATTAAAAAGAAACTGTCCAGATGACCTGACTGAGAATTATTGGATTTGATACTTGGATGATTGAGCATGAACTTTGTTCTCTGTCCACTTTGTTTGTTCGGGTGCTCGACACATATTTCATGTAATCTCTTCTTCTTCTGACAGGTGGAGGAGGCCAGGAAGAAGATGTTTAACGGTACCATCTCCTCCGTACCTCAGACTCTGACTGTGGTGGCTCCGCAGCTCAACTCCCACTCATCCGGCAGCCATTCCTCCCACAGCTCCAAGCCCCTGCAGCCGGGGGCCTCCGTCCTCCAGTCCCTCCCCTGTCAGATTCTGGGACGGACCAGCCTCGTGCTGACTCCTGTGGCCAACGGCTCGACGGTCACCTGCGCACCGCTGGCACTCACGGTGGCAAACCAGGTAGAAAACCAGACCAGAGGTCCATTTATGGAAACCAGAACCACAGCAGCTTCTTTAATTTCCCTCGTCAACCTGATGCCAGGAGCTTGTTCTCCATGATTCCCACAGGTGGTGCAGTCGCTCAAGCGGCCCCTGGCCACGCCCGTCATCTCCTCAGAGAGTAAACGACCCTCCATCATTCAGACCATCTCCGCACCGACAGCCACGTCCAAACTGGCTTCACCCAAAACGCTGAATTTCACTGTCGACCCCAACAAGACCGCCGAGCAGCTGTCAGTGCTGAGGTCCAGCTACATGCAGTGTCCTTTCCCCGAGGAAGATGAGGTAAGAATAAGTGAGTGGAAAGGGATTTTTTTAGTGACGATGCAGAAGTAAACGTTTAGTTTTGTTGCTTTTTTATCACGAGTATGCACCACTGATTCTTTCCTTTATTGCTGCGTAATGTGGCAGGTCTACAGGCTGATCGAGACCACCGGACTGTCCAGAGGGGAGATAAAGAAGTGGTTCAGTGAACAAAGGCTCCTCAATATCAAAAGTATGTGATGGGGTCAGCTGAACTGATGGCACACTCATCAAAATATTAATTTCTATGATTTTCAGAAACTTGATTTAGGTCTTTGAGATTGAAATCAGCTCGGAGATTTAAAATTATCTTTAGGTTCTTCACTGTTTCTTCTGTGTGTCTCTTGGAGGTGCTGCTGCCCCACCTGTGCTGGTGAAAGCAGAGGCAGTGCCACCAGTTAAAGACAGTCCCGTCAGGAAGGTGGTGCTGAGCCAGTTCCCTCTGCTGGAGAGGGTGAAGGGGAAGACGTCGGAGCAGCTCAACGCCCTGGAGGAGAGTTTCCAGAGAAGCTGCTCTCCAGCAGACACAGAGCTCGGTAAAAACCTAAATCCATCCTCAGGCATGCAAACTTCTTAACCATTTTCCTCCTAAAAGCACAAGTAAGGAGATGAATACTATTTTACTAAATCTAAACCAACTGTACCAACAGCAAAGTGAAGGCAGGAAACCCACATTATCCATGATCCCTTCCTTCCTGATTTTGCACAACGATTGATTATTCTAAGATTTAAAAATCTGTATTACTGTTTTTATTAGGAATGTTGTTGGGCGTGAGACACAGGTGTGCAGTTACCATGGAAACCACTTAACGAGCCACTGGAGGCAGAATCAGAATTTGTCATTGTGCAGAAACCTTATCCTCCCATGCAAAATTAAAAAGGAACAAAACAAATATAAAAGGATTAAATAAAAATAAACTGGTTTGATCTTGGTTCTTTTCCTTTTCTTATACAATTCATACATCAAAATAAAAACGTGGTTAGCTTAGATTATTACAAAAGTAAATGGTAAATGGACTGTACTTACAGCACCTTTCTATCTTATCAAGACACACAAAGCTCTTTACAACACAATCTGTGCCTCATTTACTCATTCATACAGCACTCTACTAGATCTCTACAAAGAATAATCAGAGCTTTATCATATTCATACACTGATGGGACACACATCAGAGCCAATGAGGGGTTCAGTGTCTTGCCCAGGGACACTTCAGCATGTGACTGCTGGTGGAATCGAACCCCCAACTCTCGCATTGGAGGACGACTGCTCTAACCACTCAGCCACAGCCACCCCAGAGTCCCCAAAGTAAGTCTCAAATGACTTTGTTCCCCATCACTTCCTGATGTGTCAGGTCAGTGTCAGGAGGGCTGTGATCAGTCTTACATCGGGGAAACTAAACAGCCACTGGCCAAAAGGATGGTCCAGCACAGAAGATCAACATCATCAGGCCAGGACTCTGCGGTCTACACTCATCTCCAGGCCAGCGGTCACTCTTTCAGGGATGAAGATGTTCACATCCTGGATAGAGAGGAACGATGGTTTGAGAGAGGAGTAAAGGAGACCATCTTTGTGAAAAGAAATCATCCATCATTAAATGGGTGGAGGCCTACGTGTTCAACTGTCCCCCTCTTACAATGCTGTGATTGCTAGTATCACTCAGCCCTCTGTGAGTAGTAAACACCCATCAGTGTGCTAATGATCCATTGTTAGGCTGATGGTCCTTCTTGAGCATGTGATCAGCTGGTTTTGGTTGTCAGCAGCAAAACTGGTTGATCCACTCTGAGAAGGTGCTATTTAAGAGACTGAACTGAATACAGCACCTCAGACTGAAGAAGTCTCTCGAACGAGAGACGAAACGTTTCTACATTTTTTTGTTGATTTGCTTTGTTTTTTTGTTTTTTTTTTGAATGTCCAGAGGACCAGATTTAACTTTTTTAGACTCATCTCCAAAACTACAAACATTCACTATTCAAATCCCTCAGTGGCAGTGGACGTGGGCTTGTTGTCTTTTAACAGAGAGGATGTTGGTTTGCAGCAGTAGCTTCGTTGTTGGTTATTTTATGCTCCTCCAGTTGGTTTATTTAGCTGTTTGTTGTGTTCATGTCAGATTCAGCTGTAAATTTCACATTTTATGTTTAAATTACTCAAAAATGAAGTTAACTTCGTGTGAACTAATGTTTGTTGTCTCTGGAGGAGCCCCCTGTTCGTCTCTTGTAGGTGCCTTTGTGACAGGAGTAGCAGAAATATTTTGTCACAAGTCTCCTTTTTTAAGATTTCCTGGAGGGTCAGTGAGATCTGTGGTTTTCAGACAGGAACTCCTTCGACTCATCTGATCTTATAAACTCTGTTTTGCTGCAGACCAGCTGGCCCGGGAGACCAGGCTGTCCAGGACGGAGGTGGACTGCTGGTTTTCAGAGCGCAGGGCGCTGAGGGACAACATGGAGAAGGTTTTACTCACCATGACCTCCAAGAACTCTGAGGACAAGCTGGAGCGAGCAGGAGCAGCGCTGCTGAACGGGGCTTCTCACCCAAAGCAGGATGGGAAGTCTCCTCGCTCTTCTCCTCACCCACCTGTCCTCTTGTCGTCCTCCTCCACCTCCACCTCCCCTCCTGTGCTCGCAGTCTCCTCCCCTCAGCCTCTAACACATTCCTCCTCAACATCTCCTCCCGTCCTCAACTCGTCCTGCTCCTCTTCTCCTCCTCCTCCCTCGTTGCTGTCTGCCTCCACAAACACTACAGCCGTCTCCGGTCAGTCCCTGGCTCTGCTCAGGGAGGTGAGTCAGTGTTTTTATCCAGGTCAGCTGTTGTGTGCAGTTTGAATTGGCTGTTAATGAAATAAACGTTTAATTCTCTTTGATGACGTCACCTGATTTAAAGGTCAAAACTGACTGAAATGAGCAAAGTGTGTTTAAAGTTCAAGTTTAATCAAGCTTTTTTATTGCCCACTGCTCAAAGGCAAAAGCGAACAATGTTTTTGCTTCATCGTGTGCAGGTTAGTGTCTGTTAGCAAAATGTCTTATGAACAACTGAATGCTTTTTATTAAAACTCTCAGAAAGTAATCATAGGATGCACATCTACCACTGACTTTTGAAGTTAACCCAGTTCAAGATGGCTGCCACAGCCAGATGCAATGACAGAATAAAAATAGCTATAATTTAGTCGTATTTACAGAAACTGAGCTAAGATATGGTGTGGTAGTAGCTGGGAGTCATTTAAACGTGCACTCTGAGTTCGACGACGTGCACCATTGCTCAACACACAACATTATTTTCAAGGTTTAACCAAAAAGGTTCAGGATTCTTTATTTGTATCACATGTGGTACATGAGGTGGAACGAAATTGTGTACACATGGTCCCAGTTGCACCCAAAATGGCAAAAATATACAGTGTAAAAAGAAACCGTAAATAAGGATCTAAGATATAAACTAAGATATACGCTAAACGAACGCCCAACGGTACATTAAATGTCTAAGATATGCACTAGTCACTAATGATGCAAAACGATACACTGAATAACAGCAGCTCAAACCTGAGTGTTTGTGGGTGGATGAGTACGAATGAATGAGTACAGCAGCATGAAATCAGCAGCATGTATCAGCAGCACATGTCACCAATACAAGTGGCAGTACAGTGATTTTTTACTACAGTGATTATTCTGGTTAGAGATTCACGAGTCTAACAGCCTCAGGGTAGAAGCTGTTCCTCGGTCTAGTGGTTCTACACTTAATGCTCCTCAACCTCCTTCCTGAGGGGAGCGGGGCAAAAAGTGTGTGTGCTGGGTGAGTGGGGTCCTTCATGATGCAGGTGGCTCTCTTCCTGCATCTGGAGGTGTAGATGTCTGTGATGGTGGGGAGACTGACTCCAACAGACTTCTGTGCAGCCTTCACCACTCTCTGCAGAGTTTTTCTTTCTGCAGCTACAAGCTAGAGCTACAGATCCTTCATTTCTCAACATAAAATAATTTGTCTAAAAGTCAGGCATGAAAGGCAGCGGGTGATGTGCGTTCCTTCAAGGAAAACAAGGTCTTCAGTTGAGTCTGGGCCATCTTTTTCACTAACTCTTTACTGAAACAGTTTTCCCAGCAGAACTAGAGGCTCCTTTCTGTTTCTGCACCTGTTGTTTGTTCACGCTGCTCATTTGTTTTCCCAACAGATGTTCTGCAGAACCCAGTGGCCGTCTCCAGAGGAGTACAGCCAGCTGGAAGTCCAAACCAACCTGGGACGCACCGACATCGTGCGCTGGTTCAAGGACCACCGCTCAGCACTGAAGAACGGCGAGGCTCTGGACTGGATGGAAGGTTTCCAAAACTTTGTAGATCAGCAGAAAGCGGGCCGGCATCAGAACGGCCAGAGTTCTGAAAACAGCCAGAGTGTGTCCTTGGAGGTCAAGGCTGTGAAGGGTGAGTCTGTGCGTGGGAGAATATTGTTTTTTTTTTAATTGAATCGTTGTGTTTTACCTAAAGTCTGACATCTCAGCTGTTGTCTTTGCTCATCCTTCAGCTCTGTGTGCAGCAGAGGAGGATCATGGGAACAAAGCAGCTCCAGACCAAGAGAGAGGCCACTGGTTGAGTGACAGACTAACACAGGGAGTTACAGACCTGAGCCGGACCCGGCAGGACCAGAACTGCTCTCCTGATGCTGACAAAGGAAGGTGAGGGAGGAAAGTCTGATGTTAAATGTTTTTACAACACGTGTGTTTGGTTTCTGGGATACTCCATACTTTAGTTTTCAGATCAACTACATATAAATGTGGGAAAGTTTAATGTACTTTAATCATCCCATGTATATTTGTACAACCCCAGTTTTGAAAAATTTGGAACATTGTATAAATTTATGAACACCATCCAGAACCTCTGCCGTCTTCTCTGGACCAAAGTTAATTTGAAACAGACCAACACAAACTGGAGAACCGTTCTGTGCTCCGATGGATCCACATCTGAAATTCTGTTTTGGAAACAACACATTTTTAGTTCTTCGGACTATAAAAAAGACAGGGACCTGTTATCTGCTTCAAAAGGCTGCCTCACTGTTGGTATGGGGGTGCATCGGGAAAGGCTCCATCACTGCAGAAAAGTACTTCCAGGTTTTAGAACATCTACTCTCATCCAGCAAAACTCCACTTATTTTTACAGCTTTTTGTTGCTTCTGTCCCACTTTTTTTTTTATGTGTTGTTGCCATAAAATTCAAAATTGTCTTAATTTTCTTCCCACAAATAGTATAATTTCTTAGTTTAAACACTTGATACGTTTTATTAAGTAAAAAAAGGTTTATGTGATTTTCATATTACATTATTTACATTTTACACACTTTCAGAGGTGAGGTTGTAAACAGACAACAGTAAGTGAGAAATGCACTGACCCTAAGACAAATATGTGTTCTGTGTGTCTGATCGCACCGTTCAGAGGTTCAGTCCCTCTGTTAGCAGAACGCTCAGACCCGGGTCCAGCCGTGAAGGTCTGGAGTCCTGTAGAGATCCTGAAGTTCCAGCTTGGTTTCCATCTGGCGTTGATGTCACACTGCTGTTCCTGGAAGTGTGGTGTTCTCAAAAGTCTCGTTTTGTTTCCAGGTGGGTAAAGGTCACGGTGGACGATGGGGAGGAGACGGGGGGAGGACAGGACGGACAGAGGCTGGCAGTGGACACTGACCTCTTGACTCCGGAGCAAACGGGGAGGGTCACGGGCTGACGGTGGGTTGAACCTGACAAACTAATCTGTGGTCAGAAATCTTAAAAACAAGATGTTTCCCTTTTTTTTTGTAAATTATTTGTTTTTTAATAAATCATCAGTTTAGCTAACAACTAATTTCACATCACTGACTCTTGTTGTAAAAACCATGTTGCACATCTTCCCTGCTCAGAAGCAAAAAGTGAAAGGTTCACATGGTTACTGCTGTGGGGGTTTCAGGCTCTTCACGCAGTGCATGCTGGGAAGTTTTCCAGCCATCTGTGACTCTCAACAGGACAAACTGTAGAGAGTAAATCGATGGCGGGACTCTGAGAGCCTCGTGACTTGGCTTGAGTGAACGGTGAACTGTTCCTTTAAGACGACGCAGCTGCAGCAGCACAGGAAGTGGCTGCTGGGTAATTACCTCTGATTGGTCCTCCAGTGAGATGGTGTGCACCATCATTACTGTCAAACGTCTGGGCTGGAGCACCTCATTAGATGGTGGGGGAAAGAATAAAGACGTCAATAGCAACCATTTTTTATTATAATTTGTGTTTTCATCACCAGCGGTTTGTTTCACCTCCATAACTGAAAAATGGATCACAAATAAAACTTTCAAAATATTTATAAATGATTGAATTAAAGGCCTAGCCCTCCTTGAAGGAATGCCTATCGCCCACCAGCTTTCTTTGCAGTTTTGGACTCCGATCAGTTTGTGTTGGGAAATGATGGAGTAACTGTAAAGCTGCTCCGGTAAAACCTGACATACACGATCTCATGCTATGACAAGATGCCTCGTCAGAGTTTGTGATGTGTATCACTCTCAGCTACTACCACACCAAGATCCATCTCTGTATTTGAAAAACTGACTGATCTGTTGCCATTTCTGTGTTGGTTAACGTTGATTACCGGGGCGTCCATCTTGAATCCACTCCAAAGGTTAATCAGGTCTAGCTGTATGTTTACTGAATCATTTCTCATTTCATTAGTTTGTCCTGTTCATGAGATATTTTGCTAACAGAAAGGGTTGACTCCAACAGTTAATGCTAAAAATTTAAGCAAAGCTCTCGTGTGATGAGCAGTCCCTGAAATTGCAACAATTTAGTCATTTTGCACACGTTGTGATTGACTGCCGCGGCCATCTTGAGGTGTGGCTTCAAAATTAGTCAGCCGGAGAATTACATCCAGTGATTATTTCCTGTAAAATCTGTCCCTTGGTTCAAGAGAATTTTTGCTAACACAGGCAGAAACATTATTGCCGGCAGGCGAGAAGTACTGTTGAATATTTCATCCAGAGTTATTTTCAGTCTGCATTTCTGTCTGACTCTTCCAGGTGGAGGAAGTGTTTTAATGCGGCCGCAGTGGGACGATTCGAGACAACTGATCGGTGATGCGACTGTCCCTTCGTCCGTCTGTCCGTTCGTCCGTCCGTCCGTCAGGGGCGTGATCCCTCAGCTCCGGGGACAAACGCTGGCATCAGGAGGAGTGCCAAAGCTGGACTTGCTGCATCGCACTCGCATTTAAAACGATCGACGTCTCTGTAAATATTTTTCTGTTTTACAGAAAAAAAAAGCTGCTGGAAGGACAAGATTGATCTTTTTTTTATGCCTGAATGTTGCCCTAAAACCTGGAATGTTTTTTATTTTTTATTTTTCTTGTTTATAAATCTGAAATTGAGTACTTAAAATCATGTTTTACTCCGTACGAGTAGATTTTGAGAACGTTTTCTGGTAGATATTCTAGATGCCTTGATGGAGTCCAGCAGTGAAAGTGGACAACCTGGGACTGTCTGAGGACTTGTCCAGTCTGAGCACAGCTGGACTGGATGATTGCAGAACCGAATGTTGACATTTGTGCCGTACAGAAATGATAAATGAGAGAATGCAGGTTCTGTTGGGTCACACCGCGCTGCCTTTTCCAGCTCAAACTGTAGTTTCCTGTCCGCTTCAGGCGAACGTGAGATTTCCCTCTGCAGCCTGAACTCTTCTCACCTGAACTTGTTCCAAGCCTTTTTGTGCAAATGCTACTTTCATGGACGCTAAGGAACAGCTGTGTCTGAGGTGTTCATGTGCTCAGTCTTTAAAAGCACCTCGGTTTCTGTTCGGGCCTTTTTAAGGTGGGATTTCTGCGCTCGTACTCAAAAAGTGGGGGTTCACGAATGTCTGCTGTGTTCTGACAAACTACACAAAGCATTTAGAATGTCACTGCAGCCATTTTGAATGTTCAACTCGTCCAGAAAAGAGAATTTAATCGGATCTTTGTTTTGCGTCGATCAGATCCTGATGTTTGAGTTCTATTTCATCCCTACTGACCGTCAGAGGGCGGTGCTGAAACCACTGAATGTTCCCTTCGCGCATGCGCCGTTCGAGTAGTAATTCAAACAGTCACAGCTGTGACACATCCGATGATAATCAGAGACTATATAGCTTGACATCATCCGAAGCTCTGCTCCTGCTTTCACCGTTGTCGGATGCCCAACTGCCCGTTGGCTGGAGTAGCGTGTTCGCCCTCCTAGGGGCTGTGACAGTTTAGTCTGCGTTCAAGGTATTTCTGCTGGTTGCTGGGGACGATGGCGGGTTTTTGCACACACACACCAACTTAGAGCATCTGATTACTGTGTGTGATTCAACACTGGTGAGTAGTCGCTTTACTTGTGTTTTGCCAAAGTTAGTTAGCGGTAGCTAACTAACTTCCTCATTGAGATCCTCATTGCTAGGTTAGAGCAGTGGGTGGGCCTCACATGGTCAGCCCTCAAATGGTTTAGATCCTACCTAGCTGACAGTTCCTTTTGTCTCCATCAAAGATTTTAGTTCAGCATCGGCAGCGCTTAAATGGGGGATACCGCAGGGGTTCATCCTCGGTCCCCTTCTGTTTTCTTTATACTGATGCCACTAGGTGCTATTTTCCGGAAACACAACATACCCTTTCACTTCTACTCAGATGACTGTCAAATTTACTTCCCCCTAAGACACAATGGTACATGCTCTATTCAACCTCTGCTTGACTGCCTGGCTGACATCAGGGACTGGATGGCTTTAAATTTCTTAAGTTTCAATGAGAAGAAGTCTAAAGTCATGTTGTTTCCTCCCAACGACACAATCATCATCCACTGCATCGACCTTTCCGCTCTAGCCCCATTAGAGAAACAAAGAGTCACTAATCTGGGAGTGATAATGGATCCTTCCATGAAACTTAACAGTCATGTAAACATGATTGTTAAATCCTGTTTTTTCCAGCTGAGGCGGCCGTCTAAGCTGAAGCCCATATTGTTCAAAAATAACCTGAAGACAGTAATACACGCATTCATAACATCCAGGCTTGATTACTGCAAATCGCTCCTGTTTGGTATCAGTCAGACCACCTTTGCTAGACTACAACTGGTCCAGAATGCAGCAGCCCGATTTTTAACCAGTACAGGCAAAAGAGAGCACATTACACCTGTTTTGTCTGCCCTGCACTGGCTACCAGTTCACCTTCAAATCCAGTTCAAAATACTCCTGTATGTTTATAAATCACTGAACAGCTCTG